CCAGATTAACTTCGGAGAGGGTGTTGCTCTTTGTTACCTCCTTTGAGTGAAGATGTATTGTGTATACCGCCTGTAGTGGGCAAGAATTCCTACATTGGGGGGAAGCAGGGACAAGCCCTTTCTTCAAATGCGTCAAGTCTCCTTGAGCTTAGGGATACAAAGGAACGCCAGTCTTCGGCGCTAATCCCACAGTTACTGGCCTCTCTTGCGTCGTGTCTGTTCGCTCCCCGCGCCTCGTAGCAGTGTTGTTGCAGGAGGGGGGGGGGGGGGGGGGCTTGTTAAAATTGAGGGGGGTTTTGGACTATCTAAATCACTTTCTTCCCCCCCCCCCCTTCCTTCTCTACTCCACATGCTTCCCCCTCTGAAAATATCACCTGATCTTCCAACATCTTATCTCTGTTGATAGGCAAAACAACCACTAATATTCGAAAGTAATTTGTAATTTGAGTAGAAGTCATTCGGAAAAGTAGTTAAACTACTAATTACCAAAACAGAAATCCAATTGAAAGTTACTAAACTACCCAGAAAAGGAGTTAAACTACAGTAACTTGAGTAAAGTAGTTGAACTACGTACAAGTCTGGCTAGCAGGCGCTCTGCGTAAGGGTTTTCACCTATCTGCCTAGCCCCGCACACCACCACATGGGCCCCTTCCAGTATGTGCAAATAAAATTGTTATTTTTATCATTATTATAACAATCCTGTTTTCGGCTCACATCAAGTTTGTGCCAAAACAGAATAATATCGCTTTTTAGTTCGCTTTATTTCGGGATTTTCATGTATCTGTATAAAACTAAACACAGGACTATATCATGCTCGACGTTGCACATTCGACATTCCTAACTCTCCTCATCTTCCTAAACGTCCGTGTGTTTCCTAACACCAGAAACCGGAATTTTAAAGCTTAAAAACGGCACGTTGCGAATATGGAACGCACACTCTCATGCAAAGCCGACGTCAAGTGACTCAAATGGAAAAGCATGCATATTTACATTATTGTTATTTCTTCTGGTGAATGCTCAGCAACCATTGCATTCGCTTTCGCGCACGAAGGGGTGACTCCCAGAGAAGGTAAGAACGCAGTGATTGCCTTTATTTTAACAATGTAAGCACACTTGCAGGCGTGCGCTGATGAAGCCTCAAAATCAAAACTCTCGTAGCGTGATCCGTGACTGCGCCGGCTACTACCCAACCATGTTGTCACGCCACTTTCTGCAAGCAAACACTAAAATTGCCAGCAAACACACAAAAGCGACATCGATACAATTATCTTGTAGAATATCACCTTATTTATTCATAACTGTGCCATAGCCACTACATGTTGTATTTATGTTAAGAAAAAAAAAAAACCTTTTTTCGTCAGGAAAAATTAAATATAAATGTTCAGTATGGCAACAGTGTATTTTTGCCGAATCATTGCCAAATCTTTATAAAAGCTCGTCAAAAGTTGCGCCGAATTTTCGATTCGGCAAAATTTTGGTCCATCACTATTAAAAATATGCGACCCGGGGGGGGGGGGGGAGTGTCTAGTTTGCCCCCCCACTCAAAAACAAGTTGGTACGCCACTGCATGGGTGTGACTTTGAGCTGTTACCAACCCACTCTGCGTGCCGAATTTGTCATGGACAAACTTTCGTATGTTAACGCGCTCAGACAACACCTCAAATGACAGCATTTACGCAGAGACGCTTCCTCCATGAATGCTGAACTTGGGTGGCGTGGCAACTAGCAAGCTGAGAAGGTCCAGGATGATCAACATACTGGCAACCTGACCGGGACAAAAGTGCCAGTCAAATTGTCGGTACGCTAATCACCCTGAACCTTCTTACCCATGAAGTTACAGTTGGCTAGAAAGGAAAGATGTGGCGTTCTGTCGCTTCGTCCAGCGGCCTAGAACAGTGGGGAGCCCCTCTTTCTAAGGGGCTTCCAAGCTTTGGTGCCCTCTATTCTAAAACTCTGTAGCTTGTGGTACTTACTGCAGGTGCAGAAAAAGGCCGGATGGGGTGTTTCTGGGTCATTTCAATCGCGATGGTAAATATAACTGTTCAAAACTGCGAAACCGTTCACTAGTGACTAAACAAACAAAAAAAAAAAAATCATGCCAGAACTAGGCTGAACCTTTACTTCTGTAAATTATGGTTAGTGACGCGAAATATTTTATACGGATGTTATATTTCTTACGCGCATAGAAATCGAAATAATTATTTAAAGAAAATATAGAGAAACCCGAAATTAGAAGCGACGCCAAATGTTCAGGTTTGTGACAAATATTTATTGGCAAGCCACACACTTTGTCTGAAAACAATATTATATTGTTCCTGATTGACCATGTCATGTAACACATGCCACACATAAATTGCTTCCAGCTGAACAAAAAACTAAATACATATATACTTTCATTATGTACAAGCAAACTTTGCTTTGTCTATGCTATAAGTGGTCTATAATTCTAAATAACTCTTTAGGACACTGTACAGAACAGAAAAAAATATATTTCTATTATGGTGAATTTTAACATTTCAAGGGTCATATAGCGTGTTCATACTGCGATGTCTTGTTAATATGGACCCCGTATAAATAGGTACCCTTCTACGTGGACAATAATTTCTGGGACGAACTTGATAAATAAATTCCTTCTTTCTTGTTTTTAGAGAAGTTCACGTTATGGGACTTTTTCTTCTTTTTTTTTTTTGGGGGGGGGGGGGGGGGGGGCGAAGGCGACCATATCAACGAGACATCACTGCATTCTTGGCATTCATTGAGACATTCACAGTGTACCAGTTGCTGCTAAACATTGATGCCCTCTCGATTGTGATTCGTATCGAAATTGTAGGAGAAAAAAAGCGCATAATTCTCAGATTTCCTTTTTAAGCTTAAGTTATGGAACACAGTTTGGAAGTTAGCAAATGAGTCCGCACCACAGTGGTGCACCACCTGTAGGTGGTTTATCCCTTTAGAAAAATGAGAGACAGTTTCAGCACGGAACATTCAGGAAGTGCTAACATTCGCAACGCTTCGCCACGAGCTCTGCATACTTTTATTCAGGACCCATCATAGCAGATGGCGGACGGGTAAGCGCCTATCACCAAGGCCATTACCTATAACAAGCCCTTATGGCTGACACGTAGTATTTTATAGAGACCGTCTGTTAGAAAACATCTATTAATTAAATGTTAACGTAGCAAATATAGAATGATATGCATTGTCATTGCTCAGTAAATTTAAAGGCAGAAAACGGCATTCCTCTTTTATGATAATGAATCCCCGTGGATAGCAGTAGCGTAGTTTCCATCAGATTGACGCACTTTTATAACCCTATATTCCTAAAATCCGAAGGGCATAGCGCTAGACAAAGAACTTAACTAAACTTGGGAAACTCGATAAGTTTCCCAAGTGCAAGTGACTGAAGGAGATATGGCATTTTTGAAGGGTATGGACGAGCTCTAGTTGCCCCGCCTCCAGCGTGAACTTCCTGCCTTCGACAATGCTTCAGAGTCTCGTGCTGCTCGAGCGTGTGTGTGTGCAGCTAAAGCACGACGGGAGGCATCAGGCGCGCGCTGGAGGAGAGGTGTTCGAAACACTCCTAGTCGTTCTCGTTCTGTCCGAGGCTATAGTAATGACCCAGGTACTACAATATCGTACACATAAAGTTCGTTTGTATTGTTAACTTCATAAATTTCGCCCGTCTACAAGCTGCGAAGCTCTATGTGCATTGCATCTCACAAGTAAAGTATGTTTTAAAGAAAAAAACAGTTGAATACTTTATTTTTATTTAAGACTCGTTTTCAATCGTCTATAGGTGCATACCGACCGGGCAATGCAGTGTGGTTTGACAGGTAATGCAATTTTTTGCGCAATATTTGCTACTTTCAGGCGGTTCACGGCCGCTGTCATTGGACCCGATCTCAAGCTCGACAGTCAAAATGTCCTCCCGAACTTTAACGCAACTCTCGTACCCAAACGCTTGGTGACAGGGCCTGCACAAAGCTAATCTTTTCGACCACCTTTGTAGCTGAATCTTAAAAAAAAAAAAAAAAACAACGACCGAGGCGTTTTCTATTGACTGCTTTGGGGCTATAGCTTAATTTACATCAATACATGCTTTTCTAAAATCAAAGGGTTCGATCCGCAGAAACGGCTTCGACAAAATATTGAAGAAGGGAGTCAAGTTGCGTTTAATGCCCGCTCCTTTCCTGTATATGATTAAAGAAAAGGCGTCTTGTCCGCAGCCTTCCGAGAAATATATATTCTCTAGAAAGACGGAAAATAAAAACAATCTAATTGTACAAGTGATCGATTTATTATTTTGAACGACCTCTCTCAATTTCGAAAACACGATGAACGCTTCTTTGGTGCGAAGAGTGGTGTTTTTGAACATAGTTGTTCGGTCTTTAAATACAAAAAAACACAAAAAACATCGCATTTATATCCTCATGCAAAAGCACTCTGTTTGCGTGCAAACCTGGGTTTGCCCACACCACGTGTGTAGATTGCGCATGCGCAAAAAACAAGTGTGCGCGGGAGGAAGCGTTTGCACATGCGCCGTGTCCAAAGCCGCGCCACGGTAGCGGCCTGACGGCAGAGACTGGGGTTCCAGGCATGCGTGTATCCATGCTATGACGTACAGACTAAATACAGGCCAACATAAATTTACATTATTGTTTGTAAACGTGAGTTCACTTAAGACTGCTTAGCCCCGGCCGAGACACTGGGACGTTGAAGTGATGAACCTTTAGCCTGTACCAAAAATAGCGAGACATCAATACTCCCGTAGGTAGTACGCAGATCAGTTATTGGCATTTAGATCTTCAGAATGGTGTTGGTCCAGACCAGCGTAGGAGTGATGAAAAGGGAGAAAACACCACCAACCCAGACATCCGGCAGTCCTTCATCGTTGCGTATGTTTTGTGAAAAGAAAAAAAAAAAGACGGCATGTCAGGCCGAAATCGCTTTGTGATGGCATCGATGAGTGATGACAATTAATTGAGGACCCTGGAGTTCGCTCAGCAGGGGATTTTGGAGCACTCCTTGACGTCATCCATTGGTTGGATCACGATAGAGGGTCTTTTCACGTCGGTGGTCGACATTCTGCGGTCGTCTTCATGCGTGTAGTATACTGCACCTTGGCGGCGATAGACGACCACTGTCGCCACGATGACTGTTACCAGGAGCATGATGATGATGATAGCCACAATAAGGCCAACCTGCGAGACGAAAGGTCAATATAACACTGCTTTAATGATGTTGTACACTTATGAGAGATTTCAATTCATATTACAATGAATCTCAAACCCATTTTTATATTTATTAATGAGAAAATAATTGTAATTTACTCAGTATAATGTATATGGTTTGGTAGCTACCTGTTTTCAAGGTTTTGCTTTTGGGCCCTACGGCGAAAAGATAACTGACGGCTCGAGAAGAATGGGAACACAGGTTATAGGTTGCGACGGCGACGGGCACGGCCCTGTGACGTCACGCTCTTACCGCGGAAGAGTCGGAGTGCTCAGTGGCACTAGTATTTTTGAGAAGGAGGGTAATTTGCTACTAGTTTACTGTTTCACTTCATAGGTGTACAATATCCGTGAAAAGCATTAGTGCACACTCATAAAGTTGACGGCCAAAAAGCGAGCCTCACCATGCCGAGTTGATAGGAAAGTTTATTTTGAGTGCAGTGCGGGCAGCGTGGCGTGGCTGTTGTGGCGGCATTGCCTCACTTATTTCTTAGCTCTCGGACGAGAAGAGTGGACGACATATATTATCTGAAAGCAAACTTACAAATTAAAACTGCTCTGCCCCACGATCGAGGGGCTGCACTCATCGTATTTCTGTACTTGTTCCATCATTAAACCAATCGAGTACAGTAACTTGTTTTAGTGCATTTGTACGTGTTGGAGCCTTCGTCCACCGTCCACATTATGACGTATGATGAAACGAAATATAGAAAGCATAAAATTTCAGTTACAGGCAAAACGTTCTTGATTTGCACGACATACCTTTGAAAGAAAAGAAACCACTCTGTATAAATTAATGAAAGCGAGTTTTTTTTAAACTCAGATTCATAAATTACGCATCGTAAAAGTACTGCAGCTCCATCCAATTATGAAGATTACAGTGATGATGGGATCAAATGAAAAACAAAGATTTATAAAGTTAGTTGGTGGATCCGAAGTGTCACGTTGTCATGCCGCGATTCTGGCGGTTAGTGGCAGAAGTCCCGACGTCGCGGCGCCCCAACTTCTGGCTGCTGAAGGTTTGGTGGCCAGTCAAGCTGGCGAATGACCTGCTGCAGCACAACAGGCGTCTGCCACATTCACTTGTGACACCGCCAGTATCGCGGCCGGAGACAACATGACACATCCATGACGTAATCATGGTAAAATCGAGGGACCACTTTTTAAAAAGCAGTAAACACATCAGACGAAGACGCCTTCCGTTGCACCATGCTTAAAACTGACCGAACAAACACAGGCCAACATCACCCGATCGGGGTCGTGTGCATCGAACTAAAATCAAGAGAGGGTGTCCCCACCTGAGACTCGGCACGCGAAAGTCTTCTCTGGACGAGCGGCTCCCGACAGGGCTCCAAGTCGTGGGCGGGCAGGAAGGCCAGCGACTGTCCAGCCAGGTTGCCAGGAGCCGCGCACGTGGGACACGGGCCCCCGCAGTCCAGAGGCCTCTCAGCGAGCCAACGGGAGAACTCCATCACCTGCGCGAGGACGGCCGTATGGGCAAAATGAATCAATTATGCTCACTGACACGCTGAGAACGGCGAAGGTCTTTCAGTTGTCGTGTCTCCAGTCCGAGCTTTGTGCCTTCGATGACACTTCTGCATATTGTGAGCTTCGAGCGTGCACACGCAGCCCATGCGCGGTGGAAGGCAACGAGAGCATGCTATAGGTCGGGCATTCGAGGGAGCTGTCAGTTTCAAAATCGCCTATACTCGGCGTCAACTATATTGTGCTACGTTCTTCAGGTGAGCGCAGCTCTCGCAGTGCTCCAACTCTAAGCTAGTTGCGGGAGTCACAACGCCAGTCACGTTCTCTTGAACAGCGCGGGGCTGCAGCAGCGTGAAAGGTATACGCTATTTTTGACAGTGAAGCGCAACATAGGTTACGCCGAGTGTAGAATAATCAAGGCCAGCGAACGCCCTCCTCTTTGTCCGTGGAACGTCATCACAGTCGGATGACTCAAACTCAAGCAAATGGACCCGAGCCCGGTGCCATGCGTCCTTCGGCGTGTTCATTGGAAACTAAGTCCAGCCGAGAGCTGACGCAGCACTTGCGTGCAATCTATGTCTTCGCCCGGTCTTACTGTGACGAAAACAAATTACAGTGCACAGGCTTTGATTAGTCCAGGTGCTTATGAACGGAGTGAGGCAGGGAGTGTGCCATATAAAAACAAGGCGAACAAAGGCGGGTTACGCGCAAAGTTAACACGTCGCTGCAATGTAAACAACAATAGAAATCAAACACGCTTCTCTCATTCTAATTGTTTTTGTTTCTTGTATCGCAAGGAGTAATAAACAAATATGGCCCAATCTTTGAATCAATAGGTTTAAATGTATATTTCTGTCAATAAGTCGCATGGAATCAAGTGTTCAATATTGTCGTTGGCGCATTTTCGGCACTTTTATTCCCTCTGTGGATCAAGACCTTTCCGTTCCAACACCACGAAGCCGTCCCCAACACCACGAAGCCGTCCAAGCCTTTGTATGTTGTTGTTGTTGTCCCAATTCGTCTGCTTCCTAAACGTCTCATACATTTATCAATAAAACACGGAATCGAAAAATCAGGAACTCTAAAGTCGCATCCACGAATTTTTATTTCAACGTGTTTGAGTGCGTTTCAGTGCCTTTGAGTCCAATTAGAAGTCGACAGAAGAAATGGAGGGTGACGTGCTCACTGTGCCCTTTAGCGATGCGCATCCAGAGACGGGTCTTGTTTTTGCTTGGCAGGAAACGGTAGAAACTTCGCGTGCAGATCATTTCGAGGGTATACGACTTATTGGACTGAACGGAAGTCGCGGAATCCAGAGGGCTCACCCCGAGACCGCCCGCGTCGATGCTGTCTCCGGGCACCGCAATGTTGCCGTGGACTTCGCTTACTATTGGCGAGCCGTAAGCGACGAAATCACGTTCTTATTGGTTCTTGACAGCAATATACTGGTCTCTAGCGCAACTCTGTGCAAAAGGTTTGCGCAAACGCTCTCCGCAACGTTCTGCATCCACCTGCCGCAATATGAACGCATCAGGCTCAAGGCTCATTCACGCACTTGCGTCGAGTCCGACCGAGTGCAACTGCAACGGCTTGCGACGTACGGGTTGTTATGAGCTGCGTCGGCTCCAATAAAACCGGTTTTTATCCCATCTTGTTGGAGCCGACGCAGCTGTTGCCATAGCAATACGTACGACGCAAGCCGTTGCAGTTGCACTCAGTCTGACTCGAGGCAAGTGTGTGAACTACCCCTCATACGAAAATAGGTACAAGAGCCTTTATTGAAGGCTTGTTCCTATAGGTTCTATTTGGTGAATGTTTAATTCGATCATTCTCGCTTTATTACTTGTCTCTATTACGCCCTTCGTCCTGACTCCCTAGCACTGTCTTTGTCCCCCTGTCCCTGGTGCCTACAGCTTGTGGGATAGCGGGCGTCCGAACTCGTTGGGGCATGTGGCGAATTGGCTTTTTCCCTCGCTCCGCCAGAGGGCTTCTGACACATGTGCAGTGCCAGACTTGCTGCTCACGGGATAGACCAATACCATCTAGAAGACAAGGCCAACAACAACGTCATTACTTCTGAATCCACTCAGCGCCACCTAGCTCGCATCATCTTTAGCGCCACGGCGTCTTCCGGCGTCTCACAACTTGCACGACGCTAGCGCGAGGTGACGCCGAGAAGCACGCGTCTACCGCTTTAAGTCGTAGTCTCGGCGAGCTTCAGCGCGATTGCCGCTTGGGGCGAGCCACTGATTCACTAACGATGACGTCATGCACAGGCCTTGTCTTCTAGGTGTTATGCGGAGAGCAAGTCGTCTGCTTCTTGCGCAAGAGTTGCGAGGACGTCAGAACGACACCGAGCTCTCATTGGCTTTGATTGAAAGGGCAATGGATATACATCAATACTAACGTCTTAAGGTCTACCCACTATTTTGTTTTTAATCAGCCAATAAGAGGTTGGCGTTCTGACATCATGGCAACCCCAGTGCAAGAAGCAAACGGACTTGCGCTCCGCATTGTATGGACCCTCTCGGGAACAACCAGAGTAATGAGAGGGGAGGAGTACCAGTGTTGTAGGCGTTACTTAAAGAAAAGCAGCGATTTAATATTACAACTGCTTTATTGAAAAATGTTGCTGACTACAGTAATCACTGCATCACGAGAGTAATTAAAAATATTACCAGAATTTAATTGATTTACTTTTCACCCCCCATTACTTTCTTTTCTTTAACTCTTTGTAATGAAATAAAAAAATGTGTACTTATGTTCAAAGGGGTTAGATTTTGTTTCGTTTTGTCATTCAAAACCTTGTTAAGCTTCAACAGCATGTTGTCGTTCGAACTTCTCGTTAGTCATCTTCCCACGTTTCCTTGTGGGGATATCTGCTGGGACCCTGACGACCCTATCGACGGATGCGCTTGACGTAAGAGCCATGTTGTAGCGCACAAAACACTTTGCGTGCCAGTTCGTGGTTTCACAGTGCTTCTACGGATGCTTCCGAGTCCGCTAGGAAGCGAAGCGAATCACTGTTGCGACCGCCTGTTGAAAGCATTTCAGATGGGGGCAACGCAAAAGCTAAAAAAATCTTTCGTGGACGAATCTTTGGAGCGTACGCCGAGCCAAGTGATGCACAGCCAGACAGAGCGACTTTTTACGTAAAATAACTCGACTCAATATTTTAGCTATTTCGAAGACACATAATTGTTTTTTTGTAATTAATTATGGAAAATAGTAAATGAATTACAGCGAACGTTACCACAGAAAAAGTAATTAAAGCGTTAAAACGTTAGAATAAAATGTCACTGATTGCAAGTAATCAATTACATTGAAAATATTGCAAGTACAATGGGTGTCGGCCCAGCGCGTGTGCAGGAACCAGATTCGCATGAGCGGCGCAGTGCGGACCGCAGCACCACCGCAGTTGTATGACATCAGAGGGCTGAGTTGGTGCATAAATAATCCAACTAAAGGAATGCGATTGAACTTTTCCCACAGTTGTACTTAAGTAGTGTACTTATAATAATCACATCTTATGAGTGTTGGTTCCCCCCGCAAAAAAACAATCGAGCAAGAAAAGAAACAAGTGATTCCTAGGCGCAAGGAGGAACATGTTAGCAAAACGTCCTGGTTGACGCAATACTTATCAAAAATGGTGCCAAACAAGCTCGGATCTCTCTCGAACGCCTTTCGGGTATTCATCTTAAAAAGGTTTCATGTTTCTGTTCCGTGTTGGGGCATCTGTGAGTTGCAGTGTTTACCAGACAATTATCTAACGCCCTACCGCCCCCCCCCCCCCCCCCCCCCGGTGCATGGAAATGACGAGACTTTTGCTTGAATATTTTTTCAAGGGACCTGCACTAGTGCAATTTGAGTATAAGGAATTCACTCCTTAAATACCCCTTTCTGGAAAGTTTGCACACGCATTACGTTCATTGGCTTATTGGTGCCAATTGTTTTAGGCCCGATTGGCGCTCGGGATCACCCTGTAGATTCCCGACAAGCCTCACCTGACATTGCTTGCATTGCCAGGGGTTGTCATGAGTAGCTAGTCTGGAAAGGGACGGCAGAGAATCCAGCTCTTGCACCAACTCCGGGGCTGCTCCGCGAAGCCGGTTGAATGACAGGTCCAGGAACTCGAGAGATTTCAAAGGGGACAGCATGCCTGACCCAAAAGTTGAGCGCGTTTTTACTTGTGCGAACTCATAAGCGCCATAGACGTTCGCAAGTGCGGATTCTGGGCGCCGCCATCTTGTTGCTGGTGCGGGTAGATCGTCTGACAGCCAAGCATTGCTGAGGCCGTGGGTACGCCTCAGCAATGCTTGACTATCAAACAATCTACCCACACCAGCAACAAGATGGCGGCGCCCAACCGCCATATTTGCAAACCTATATAAAACACCAATGCTCAGCGTAAGTTCGTCTGCTTTTTAAGCAAGATTTGCGGTGACGTCAGAAGGACGCCGAGCTTTGATTAGCTCTGATTGAACGATAGTGGGTAAACCGCAAGGCATCTTGCTTTCAGGTCTACCCACTATTCCTCCAATCGGAGCCAATCAAAGCTCGGCGTCATTCTGACGTCACCGCAACTCCTGGTCAAGGAGCAAACGACTTGGTTTCCGCGTAGAGACCTTTCGAAAGTCACGAGCCCATTATTAGAAGGTCGGAACCACTGTGCAATGGCGGAACAACTGACATTGTAAAACGTGCAAGTCAGTCCTTGAGATTGCGAATGTCGGATCACGGCCAACGCTAGTAGCCGACGAGCCAATAAACCAGAGCCGACAGTGCAACGTCACTGCGCTCATCCTCTTTTTATTGCGCGTGTGTTTTTGCCTTCTAATCTAACCAAACGCTTAAAGTGTGCCGTGGCGTTGCGGTTTCAGTCCGCAATTTTGCAGGAATTACATCACTGCCAACAGAGGGCAGTGTTCGAAAGGGGCCTATAGCAACCAACGAGGTGGAGAGATTAGAGCGGTAATCTAATATCCCGTTCACCAGGCAAAAATTACCCACACTTGGCTGCCGCCATGTTGACCAATTTCGAACATTGGACACGTGACCGTACCAAATCCTGAAAGTTTTACGCAAAACTGAGGCGAGATTTGTATTGCGATCGCTGTAAAAAAATATCATAAACTATTTTTTTTTAATACTTTTAGCCCCAGAGATTTTTGTTTAGCTCCGATAAAAACTCGAAATACAGCACGGCGACTAACGGCATTTAGCTGGGGCATTGAGAAGCTGCACGAGTTTTTGTCGTAAAAACACACTTTCGACTTAAAACGAACGAAACATAGCTTATCTCGTCGGTACTGTTATTAATGGTCGATAAGCAATTATCCGTGCCTGCTACGTTAAACTCTATACGTAAAACTATAAGGTCACGCGTCTAGTGATAAAAATTTTGCAACATGGCGGTGGCCAATAGGGGTTACTTTCAGCTGCCAGCTTATCGCTCTAAGGCCCTCTACCTCGTCGATAGCAACCAACGAGCAGACATGTACAAGTTACTAAAGAAAAGTAATAATGTTAAGTTACTGAGTATTGACGTCAAAAGTAATTTGAGTAGAGTAGATATTACTGAAATAGAAAGTAATTCAGAAAGTCACTAAGTACCGCAAAAAATAGCGATTTACTTTGAAGTTACTTTTATATGTTTTTATAGTAAAAAAGAAAGTACAAAGGTTTTTATGAGTTAGCGAAATTGTGCTAGCCAAATATGAATCGGCTTTTTTTTTTCCACAGAAATGCTATAAGTAGCTGGTTCTGCTTCTGCGTGCCTAATTGTTTTGTACTTCCTTGTTTGTTTGGTCAATGATGTACTGCGAATGTGTAATTTCTACTTTGAAGTTTAGCACTGTGTGAGCTTGATTTTTTTAGAGTGTTTGATTGTTTACAGTGTTGCGTAAAGTACATCTAAAAAGTACTTGAAGTAAAGTTCAAAGTAATATGCACTTCAAGTAAAGTAGTAAGTACACTGGGTGCAACGTACTTGAAGTAAAGTAGTAAGTACACCGGTTGCAATGTACTTGAAGTAACGTATATAAATACAATATATTTCAAAATAAAGTACAAGTACTTTTAACGCAATCTTTCATGATGCCCTTCCATTCCCTATACAGTGTATTTTTTAACTGGTATGCATTGCTCCAGGGGTAATCGGAGGTGCATCAGTTCTTACGGAAATGGCAAGCAAATATTGTATGAGGTGAAGTCGCCGCAGAGTAGTTGTTTTACTCTCGCTGACGAGCTGTTTGACACAATCAACTTTTAAGGCTCTTATTTCCATCGGTCTTACAGCCGCCATTACTTCCCTCAGAGAAATGACCAGATGACGTCTCGAAAGAGCGCGTTTTCACACGACGATACCGCCATTTTTTGTTTTCAAATTCGGGGAATGTACATTGATGTCGGGAGTTTTACTTTCCTCGGAAAATACAAGTGCATGTTGAGAGAATTTACTTCAAGTAAATTACAATTTTTCTAGACAGTAGTACTGTAAGTACCAAGTACATAGAGTACACCCCAACACTGCTTGTTTAGTATTTTTTATATAAAAACGTTGGGGGATTACTAGAGGTTTCTCGTACGATCTTTGAATCTTGGAAGATCTGCATATTCTGAGTTTTGGGAGGAAAGGTAACGCAAAAAGATAATCTTTGCTTTGCCCTAGCACGCGATTCTTCGAGTTCAGCACAAACTGCGGGAGCACCAGATGAGTTTCAGAGCAGGTGCTTCATTTTGTTGCCTCATTTGAGTGAGGATGCAGTGTGTGCACCTCCTGTAGTGGGCGAGAGTTTCTACGTTGGACAGAAGAGGGGACCAGCCCTTTCTTCAAATCGGTCAAGTCCCCTTGAGCTTCGGGACACAAAGTGACACCAGTCTTCGGCGCTAATCTCGCAGTTACTCGGCCTCTCTTGTGTCGTGTCTGTTTGCTCCCAGCGCCTAGTAGCAGTGTTGTTGCAGGGGGGAGGGGGCAGGGAGGGGGGGGGGGGCTTTTGAAAATTTTGGGGGGGTTTCGGACAGTCCAAAAATATTTCCTGCTCCCCCTCCCCCACCCTTTCGTTCGCCACATGCTTCCCCCTCTTTGCAAATATCAGCTGATCTTTCAACATCGTATCTTCTTTGTGCAGAAATATTTTTTGATAAGCAAAACAACCACTAAAATTCGAAAGTAATTTGTAACTTGAGTAGCAGTTACTCAAAAAAGTAATTAAAGTAAACTCTGAAATAAAAATATAATTGAAAGTTACTAAACTACCCAGAAGAGTAGTTAAACTACAGTAACTTAAGCAGAGTAGTTTAACTACGTACAAGTCCGCCAACGAGGTAGGGAGGGCCTCGGGGAACTCAAATCGTTGGAGGCCCCCGTTATAAAAGCTCTCTGAGAGCAAAACGTCCGTCCTCTCCGAGACAATGAGATAATGCGAGTGAAAGCATTACCTGGAGACAAACTGCTGAACCGATTATGCCTCAGGCCCAGTTCGCGGAGCTTGCGTGCGTTCGAGAAGGTGTCGGGGGGCAGGAAATGAAGTCCGAGCCCCTCGAGCCTGAGCACGCTGAGCCGCGTCAGGCTCCTGACAAGGGCGGCCGCAGAGTCCCCAGACAGCGGGTTCCAGCTCAGATCCAGTCTGTCCAGCGAAGGCGCCAGCGGTCGAAGAGGGTCGCCTTCTCCGGTCTGAAATTATTCCAAGCGTCTTTCCTTCACCATCAGCTTGTCATGCAAGAATCAAAAGAAGAAAATCGCAATATTTCTGTTAGGAAATCTGAATACAGTATGCTAAAATGTCGGAAGCTATGCGGATGAATGAACCTTACGTACTGACCGAATGGAACTAAGGTTACGAAGCCACATGAAGAGAGAATCTTTGGTTACGTAGGATTTGAACTCTGCGTCTTCTAATTGCCGGTCGGGTTCATACGCAGGATACGCCCCGACTTCGAACCCTGGCGCCACCAAAGATTCTGTCTTTCGGTGGTTTCGCAAAAGTTTGTTCCACTCCATACCCCAAGACCGCCCTGAGCCTGCGCCAGCAATCGTGACTAGCGAACTGAACCCTCATCGGGGAGTGAGCACGGGATCAGCCGAACCATGCGGACCACTCATTTTGTCATCTTGCTCGTACAGATTTCGGCCCTCCAGTTTCCGGTGTCTGAGTCCCTGCACAACCGTGACGCCACCGTTCTCGTGAGCGGTTCCTCGGATAATCGTGTTGAATCGCCTCGACATCGGCAGGCCGCCACCTATCTGTGGGATAATCTGCAAGCGATCTCTCCTTGTTCCCTTGACATCAACCGAGCATCGTCAGCGACACTGCCATCTAGCACATCTGCGCCGCCTACAAACACCCATATAACCAGCTTGGAACGTCTTCAGCCCTTGAGTGAGCACGGCATCAGCCGAGCCATGCGGACCACTCATTTTGTCATCTTGCTTGTACAGATTTCGGCCCTCCGATTTCCGGTGTCTGAGTCCCTGCCCAGTCATGACGCCACCGTTCTCGTGAGCGGTTCCTCGGATCGTCGTGTTGAATCGCCTCGACATCGGCAGGCCGCCACTTATCTGTGGGATTATCTGCGAGCGATCTCTCCTTGTTCCCTCGACATCAACCGAGCATCGTCAGCGACACTGTCGTCTAGCAGATCTGCGCCGCCTACAAACGCCCATATAAGCAGCTTGGAACGTCTTCAGCCCTTGAGTGAGCGCAGGATCAGCCGAACCATGTGGACCACTCATTGTGTCATCTTGCTCGTACAGGTTGTTTCAGCTCCCCCGTTATACACTAAAAAAAGCAAGCGAGTATGGTTATTGTAGTTCCCGTGCTCACAAGTGTTTCAAAAAACTGTTTGTGACTCAGTTGATGTGGTGTACCTTCCACTAAAAGCTACCGGAGACGTGGAATCTAATCCCGGACTGATGAACTAGGCCCAACTTAAGCTGTTTAACGAGATGCACTCAACACTAACAGATGTTAACGAGCGCTCACTGATGATGGATCAGACTCAATCGGGTATAATTGCTACACTTAACGAAGTTAAACAAAGTCAAGAATCTATCAAGGGGGCCACAACGGAAATAAAAATGAGACTTAACGAGGTTGAAAATAAAACTGCTGCAGTCCCTAATGTTTAGCTTGAAGTAAACATAGCGCGAAGCTTGGAAGAAGAGGTGCAAAAGAGAACATAGTCCTAAGAACACACTTAGATGATGCTGAAGATCGTTCACGCCGTGAGAATATTTTTTTTTTTCGGAATGACCGACACAATATTTGAAGCATGGGCGCAGACAGAACAAACAATTCTGAACAGCTTTAGACAGTCGATTAATCTACAAGTATCAGACGAAGCTATTGTTCGGGCCCATAGAATCGGCACGTTCTGCCAGAACAAATGCCCCCAGTCATCGTCAAATTCGCGTCTTACAAATTCAAAGACAACGTTCTTCTCTCAAGGGCACCCCTGAAAACAAAACGCATAACAGTAAGCGAGGTCTACTCAATTGGGACACGTATCGCTCGAAAAAGACTTATGCTATGCTTTTGATCTGACCGCCGAAAATGTGTACGAGGTCGGTCCCTCTACTACGCCGGTTGTTACAGTCCCACATAATTCCCTACCCGTTAATGACTCATCTCAACCATCAACATCGCAATAACAGGCCGTGAGGGGTAGAGTGTCCCTTTCACCTGTTTCTGATGTAACTGTACTTTTTACAAATATTACAAGCCACGTTATAAAGCGAGAAGACTGGTGTTCTATTGTTGATTCAACAGCTACTGAAGTTGTTGCTTTAACGGAAACTTGGCTCACTGGGAAGGTGCGTGACTGCGAACTTTTTTATGGACCTAAAAGGTACAATATTTACAGGAACGATCGGCAAGATAGGTGCGGTGGGGGCGTTTAAGTTGCAATTGCAAGCCATATTGATTCGTTTTGTTTAAACATAGCTAGCTATTTAGAATTAGTTTGGGTGTGTCTTGGTACTAACAATATGATGTGGATCATGGGAGTTTGCTATAGGCCGCCCTCATCCTCATCATCTTTCATTAAAGCCTTGCAGAACTCCATAAATCTGGTCGTCATTCGCTTTCCCAGTTCGCCCATTTTTCTGTTGGGAGATTTTAATTATGCGGCTATTGTGTGGACAGGTAATAACCCACCAACAGGCATACCCTCATCGGCCTCATCTGAATGCAATAATTTTGTTCGCCTCTGTTTAGATTTTTGTTTCACGCAATTAGTTACTCAACCAACCAGAGTGACCCCACTGACGGCTAACGTATTGGATCTTGTTCATCCTGAACTCGTTTCACCTGTCTCCTATCTTCCAGGGCTTAGCGATCATTCCATAGTGCATTTTAATGTAAAAGCATCAGTACCAAAACCAAACAAGCAAATTCGAGATTACGCCAAAGCTAACTTTGATAAAATTAATCTTGACCTTACAACTTTCCTCGATGAATATTTATCACTCTTCTCGAGCCGTTCAGTAGAAGAAAACTAGAACTTCTTCAGAACCGAAGTTAATAAACTAACAAATCAGTAGATTCCCTTAAGGACAGTTATCGAAAACTCTCAGTTACCTTGGTTCACCAGAGCCCTAAAACGCTTATCAAACAAAACAAAAAAAACGGCTATTTTGCGCCGCAAATTATCCACGCGCGAGCACCGTTGGTTGCGTTATCGTAGTGCTGCTGAAGTGCACATAAAAGCCATTGATAACGCCAAACTAGAATTCATGACTCATAGCCTACCCGCAATGTTGATCAACAATCCTAAACAGTTCTGGTATATCATAAACAAAAAGACGCAGTCATCTATCACACTAAAAACCGCAAATGGTGATTGTATAGCCAGCGATTAGTGTTTAATTTTGTTAAATAGTACTTTTGCAGATTCATTCCCTACTGATAACATGCACGTATTCCCTTCGCTATACTCCGCGACAACTTTTCTTGGCAATGCAGTGGAAGGTACAGGCCCGCGTCCCCTCTCCCATTTCGAGTGTACGCAGGCTCTCCTCCTCCCCCATTTCCGGGGAGAGGAGGAGAGCGCGCGCACACTCAAAATGGGAGAGGGGATTGCGGGCCTGTACCTTCCACTGCATTGCCAAGAAAAGTTGTCGCGGAGTATAGAGAGTGCCGATTACTTGCCCATAGATCCTCTGTTTCTTGATTACATTGGTGTCGTTCGTATCATAGATAAAGTCAAACTGTCATCTTCAGCAGGAGTGGACGGCATTAATTCCAAGTTAAAAAAAAAACACTAAACAATACTCCTCAATTATTTTAACAAAATTACTTGAACAATCTATACAAGACGCTGTTCTCCCATCAGACTGGAGGGTAGGGAAGGTAGTACCCATTCACAAGGCTGGAGATTAACGTTCCCCTCTTAATTATCGTCCGATCTCAATAACAAGCATTCCTTGCAAACTTCTTGGATGTAATGATGCTGCTACTCTGGCAACCTGCTGCATCGTGGGCAGCGCCACCGCTGGCCTATTTAAGGGACGCTCCATTAAACTTTATTCTCTTTTCTTCAATCGCTACCTCACGGCTCGTGTCTTTATTCGATACATGGTGTCAGAAGTGGGGTAGAAATTGAAGATAATTTTTTCTCACCTCGTCAACTTCTTAGAATCTAACAACTTCTTCAACAATGCCCAACACGGTTTCCGAAAAACATTTTCGTGTGGGCCCAACTACTATCTTCCACAAATGACCTACATCACATTCTGGATCGAGGATTCCAGGTGGACTGCATTTTCCTGGATTTTGCCAAAGCATTTGACAAAGTTTCTCACAATCTTCTGCTTTTAGACAATAACGTTCTCGCATGGATACAGTCTTTTTTAACTCAACGGTCTCCATTTGTCACTATGAATAATAGTAACTCATTTTTTGTCAAAGTTCCGTCAGGGGTTCCGCAGGGGACAGTCTTAGGGCCGTTGCTATTCTTAATTTATATTAACGACCTCCCCACTTATGTCTCTTCATCCGTATCTCTGTTCGCTGACGACTGTGTACTTTACCGTTAGATTCTCGATCATAATGACACCTGTATAGACGCTTTACAGCAGCTGTGCATGGGCACCGCCATAACCGCCCTTCAGTTTTTGTGTCCTCTTATATTTTTCACTTTGCTCCATCATTACCACTAGAGGGCGGGTTACTGGCATTTTAGATACGACGGTGTCTTTTTCCCTAGCATTTGCCATTGTGGAGGCTCGCCAAATCCCGCTTCAGTGGTTTGATATATCGGTAAGACAATAGAAGGTCGGCAATGGCGTCTGTAATCTGGCGCGTGTGTAAAGCGTCTATACTCCAATCAGACATTAACACTATTTACTGTTGGTCTGACTCATGGTCCATGAAGCTTAACACTAACAAATACAAGGTCATGCATGTGTCTCGCCAGTCTCATGACTGTCCTATTTCTTTAATAATGCTCATCTAGAACCGGTATCTTCGTACAAATATTTAGGCGTACATATAGCTTCTAACTTTTCATGTAAAACACATATTCAGCATATTTCAGCTAACGCTAACCGCATGTTAGGTTACATCAAGCGAAATTTTTCATTAGCCCCTGTCTCACTGAAATTAACTCTTTACAAAGTTTTAATTCGTCCCAAGTTAGAATATGCAGCTTCTGTCTGAGATCCCGGACTAGTCA